GCCAGGATGGTCTCGATCTCCTGACCTCGTGATCCGCCCGTCTCGGCCTCCCAAAGTGCTGGGATTACAGGCTTGAGCCACCGCGCCCAGCCCGCGCTGCTGCCTTTCAAAGGGCCTGGGAAGCAGGAGGACAGGCACTGAACAAGTATCCACACAAAAGGATGGTGTTCCAGCCTGAGCAATATTGCCAGACCCCGTTTCTGCAAAAAATACTAAAGCTAGCCGGGCGTGGCGGTGCATGCTTGTGGTCCCAGCTACCCAGGAAGCTGAGGTGTGAGGATCACTTGAGACCACAAGGTGGAGGCTGCCGTGAGCCAAGACTGCACCACTGCACTCCAGTCTGGGCAACAGGGCGAGGCCGTATCTCTAGAAAAAACAAAAGCCAAAAGGATGGCATTTGGTATTCACAAGATCTGGGGAGTTGGGCCATGGGAACACACAGCTAGGGGGCCTAAGACCTCCTGGAGACCATGGTGCTTGAGCAAAGCTGAAAGGAGCTCGCAGGCCCAGGCGAGTGGCATTGTGTGTGTGCTTGGTTGCGGGACACCACGTGCACGGGCCTGGAGGCAGGATTGTCTTGTGAGAGTATGGAGGTCAGCTTGGCTCATTAGAAACCAGGGCCATGGCCGGGCTCGATGGCTCACGCCTGTAATCCCAACACTTTGGGAGGCCGAGGGAGGCGGATCACCTGAGGTCAGGAGTGCGAGACCAGCCTGGCCAACATGGTAAAACCCCATCTCTACTAAAAATACAAAAATTAGTCGGGCGTGGTGGTGGGCGCCTATAATCCCAGCTGCTAGGGAGCCTGAGGCAGGAGAATCGCTTGGACGTGGGAGACAGAGGTTGCAGTGAGCCAAGATCGCGCCATTGTACTCCAGCCTGGGTGACAGAGCAAAACTCCGTCTCAAGGAAAAAAAAGAAACCAGGGCCAGTGGCAGCGACATGCAGCTGGAGGCTGGAGGGGACGGGGAGCCCAGACCGCACGGGCTTGGGAGCCTGTGAATCCACTCAGGCCTGTGGCGAGAGAGGAGGAAAGTCCCGGAGCCTTCCGCAGGAGAGGGCCCCGTGGCTAGTGAGCTCCCTGTCTAGGCTGACACCAGTGTCCAGGCAAAGGCAAGGGTGGCCCGACCCAAGCAGTGGCAGCAGAGGTGACAGAGAAGGTGCAAGGTGGTTGACTGAGCTCAGCAGTGAGAGGGTGAGGGGGATAGGAGGCCCTCGGTGCTGCTCTTAGCCGCTGGGAGTATGGTGGGATGGCCAGTGAGCTGGGAGTGAGGAGGAAGAACAGATATGTGGTCAAGATGAGCTCCAGTCTGGACGTGGGGTTGCAGTGCCCCAGGGACATCTAGGGGACGACGCCCAGCAGCTCCACTGAGGTGGCTTTTGGCTGGAAATGGAAGTTTGGGAGGAGTCCCCACCACACAGCTGGCGGCTGAGGCTCTGGAAGGGAGTGAGGTCACCCGAGGAGGGCACGCAGAGGCTCCTCACTGTCTTCTGGGAAGTAAGGGTTGCTCCTCACAGGGGTGCGGGGCGGGCGGCCTGCTATTTGCATTGGTCGGTGGCAGCCAACAGGTGCCTGTTTTGGAGAGAGGTCCAGGGAGGAGAGATGAGCAGGGTGCCATTGGTGACATGGCCACTGTCATTTCAGGAGCTGCCCCAGCCCCAGACTTGCCCCAGCAGTCCGGGGACCCCACTGTGATCAGGCAGATGCTCGAAGGAGCCAGTGGCTCTCCTTCCCGATGCAGATTTCCCTGGAGTCCCCTGCGGGTGACTTAGAATGGCCACCAGAGGCTTAGTATGCTGCCCCAAAGAGGGAGGGCTCCTGGAAGCAGAGTCGAGAGAGTCAGTGCCGGGTTAGCGGGAGCCGGAGGCAGAGCTGCAGCTCCAGGCCTGGTGGGCATGGACCTGGGGTGCTGGCTGGCAGGTGTGCTCGGGGACAGGAAGTGGGGGGCTCTTCCCTGACCATCGCATCTCACCCTGACAGATGGTGGCCGACATGCGGGAGAAGCGCTACGTGCAGGAGGGCATTGGCAGCAGCTACCTGTTCCGGGTGGACCATGACACCATCATCGATGCCACCAAATGTGGCAACCTGGCCAGGTTCATCAACCACTGCTGCACGGTGCGTCAGGGGCTGGTCGGGGCAGGAGTTCGGGGGTCGGTGGGGGTGGCCACGGCTCACATGCCCTTCCCTCCGCAGCCCAACTGCTATGCCAAGGTCATCACCATCGAGTCCCAGAAGAAGATTGTGATCTACTCCAAGCAGCCTATCGGCGTGGACGAGGAGATCACCTACGACTACAAGTTCCCACTGGAAGACAACAAGATCCCGTGTCTGTGCGGCACGGAGAGCTGCCGGGGCTCCCTAAACTGAGGTGGGGCAGGACGGGTGCCCACACCCCTATTTATTCCCCCTGGTGCCCTGAGCTCCCAGCACCCCCCAGCCTTAGTGGGCTCAGCAGGGCCCACATGCCCCCATCTCCAAGCGTGGGGTTGGGGGGCCCCAAGCCCAGCGAGGGAGCCTCAGTCCCTGGAGGCAGCTTCTGCCTCTCCTGTCGCCCCTGCCCACCACTCCCTGATTGTTTTTCTTTGCGGAGAAGAAGCTGTAAATGTTTTGTAGCAGCCAGCAGCTGTTTCCTGTGGAAACCTGGGGTGCCGGCCTGTACAGATTCTGTCCTAGGGGCTGCACAGTCCTCTCGCTTTGTGTTAATGGGGACTTCCCCTTATGCCCTGCGTGTACCCCTCCCCAGTTTAGGGGTCTCTGGGGCAGTGGCCATGTTCTCCCCCTGGGGGGGCTCTGCACCCCCAGTCCTGGGGACTCCGTGCCTGGAACCCTGCCTCATCTGTTCCTGCCAGACCCTGAGGGTCACCCTCCCACCCTGGTGTCACGCCCCGGCTCAGCCAGGCCAGGATGGCGGGGTGGGCCCCTTCTGCTGGGCTGGACTGTACATATGTTAATAGCGCAAACCTGACGCCACATTTTTATAATTGTGATTAAACTTTATTGTACAAAAGTGCTTGGTTGGTGTATTTGGGCAGGAGCGAGGGGTTGGGGGTGGAGGGCACAGAGGATTGGGCAAGATGAAGAGAGGGAAAAGTGAGTACCAGAAGTGTGGGGCTGGTAAAGGGGCCTTCAGGCAACAACCCAGACCTGCGGAGGCCCCGAGACTGCTTTGGACCCCTAGACAGGCCGTGGCAGCCGCAGCCGCACCCACACCAGGAATCCCCCACCAGTGCCCGCCAGGGCGGTGCCAAGGTCAGGCCTCCCCTTCCCAGAACCACAGCTGCAGCTGGGCCCCTGGCCTCCTGGGAAGCCCAGCGGGAGGGAAGGCCTGAGGTCACACTGTGGGATGAGGTCACCCGCTGGCTCCACCCAGAGCCCCGGACCCCTTAGCCCACTCAGCAAGTTCCAGCTTCATCACCCCAAGTTCTCCGCTGGACCTGGATGCCCGTGGAGCACAGAGTGGCCGCCAGGGGGCGCCTTAGGGCAAGAGTGGTGGGGGTTGTGGCTGGGCGGGTCTCTGTTCCTGGAATGGGGCAGGAGGGAGAAGGAGGAGCCAGCGGAAGGGGACGGTGTGTGGGCTGGCCAGTCCTGGACGAAAGAAGAGGGCCCCTCCAGGCCAGTCTGGGCACCCTGGGACAGCGGCTGCAGGTAGGCAGAGGCGCTGCCAGTGCCCACCCAGGTGGCCTTTCCCTCCATCCGGCCCTTCCTGCCTTCCTATAACCTTCCCTCCACCTCCCTCAACTCCCGGCCTCCCCACCCTTTTACTGCCCTCAGACCTCTCTCCCCAAACCCTGACCCCTTCCTGTACCCCAAGCCCGTCCCTCTCTCCATAACTCAGCCATCAGCAGGGGCAGATGGCTAGTGGCCTGGTTGCTGCAGCTCCCAGGATCAGCTCTGCCCTCCCCCCAAGCGCCAGCCTCTTCAGTGCTCCAGGGCACCTCCAGCAGTAACAGGTGGTTGCGGCAGGTGGCAGCCAGTCCCTGGGTGAGCCAAGGTCTTTTCCCCAGCCGGGCATGGCCGACTCTGCACAGGCCCAGAAGCTGGTGTACCTGGTCACAGGGGGCTGCGGCTTCCTGGGAGAACACGTGGTGCGAATGCTGCTGCAGCGGGAGCCCCGACTCGGGGAGCTGCGGGTCTTTGACCGACACCTGGGTCCCTGGCTGGAGGAGCTGAAGACAGGTTCGTGTTGGGGGAGCTTGTGGCGGAGAGGGTGTGGACGCTTCCCCATCCCTTCCAAAGCTGGGATCCCCACCCCTGCAGTGGAACAGATGATGCTGGTTTCTGTCCACATGGATGGGACGAGTGAGTCACATTGGGAACGTGACTCCAGAGTGGAAGATGAACCCAGTTTCTGGCCTCTGGCCCCAGCTGTGACATGGCCTGTGTCCTCCAACCCCGGCCAGGGCCTGTGAGGGTGACTGCCATCCAGGGGGACGTGACCGAGGCCCATGAGGTGGCAGCAGCTGTGGCCGGAGCCCATGTGGTCATCCACACGGCTGGGCTGGTAGACGTGTTTGGCAGGGCCAGTCCTGAGACCATCCATGAGGTCAACGTGCAGGGTGAGGAGCCCTGGATACTCCTGGCCATCTTGCTTGTTTGTTCCCCACTCTGTCTTTGGCCTTCACCTCCTGTGACTCCCCTGGGACAAGCTGTCCTATTGGCAGCCCTGCCCCCGCCTCCCCTGACCTGTTGTGGTTTTTCCTGGACCTGGGATGGGGAGGAGGAAGATGCAGAGAGGGAGGAAGCTGCAGCCTGGATACACCCCCCCCTCTGCCAGGCACCCGGAACGTGATCGAGGCTTGTGTGCAGACTGGAACACGGTTCCTGGTCTACACCAGCAGCATGGAAGTCGTGGGGCCTAACACCAAAGGTCACCCCTTCTACAGGTGAGTGGCAGGGCCCTCCTGTCCTCTAAGAGCCCATTTCCCTCAGCATTGAGTCTTCCTTCTCCTCCCGCCAGGGGCAACGAAGACACCCTATATGAAGCAGTGCACAGGCACCCCTATCCTTGCAGCAAGGCCCTGGCTGAGCGGCTGGTCCTAGAGGCCAATGGGAGAGAGGTGAGCCCAGAAATAGGAGGCACAGAGATGGGGCTCCTGCCCTGTACACCCCCTTACCCCGCCAGCCCAAGGAAGCTGGGGCTGAGAGCGAGCTGTCAGGTCTCAGGTCTCAGCAGTGCCTGCCTTTGCCACCAGGTCCATGGGGGGCTGCCCCTGGTGACGTGTGCCCTTCGTCCCACGGGCATCTACGGTGAAGGCCACCAGATCATGAGGGACTTCTACCGCCAGGGTCTGCGCCTGGGAGGTTGGCTCTTCCGGGCCATCCCGGCCTCTGTGGAGCATGGCCGGGTCTATGTGGGTGAGGACGGGGCTAGGCAGGGGGAGGCTGAGAATATGACAGGAGGACTTGCTCTAGAAGGGGACGGGACCCATATGACCCTGGGAGAGAAGTGTGGACTCTGACTAGAAAAATGTGGTCTATACATGGGCCAAGGTAGACTGTGATTATGTGGGGAAAGCCTGTGATTATGTGTCTACACAGTCTGCAGAGAATACAGGATCCATGCAAGTTGGGATATTAAAAAGTGTATCACAGGCTACAAAGATTGCAGCTGCGGGAGCAGCCATTCCCCAGGAGAGGAGAGGAGAGGGACAGTGTCTACACAGCACTAAAAGGGCTGGGTTCAGTGGCTCACACCTATAATCCCAGCACTTTGGGAGGCTGAGGCAGGAGGACGGCCTGAGCCCAGGAGTTGGAGGCTGCAGTGAGCTATGACCACACCAACTGGACTCCAGCCTGGGCGACAGAGAAAGACCCTATCTCTAAAACTAAAACGGGAGTAGCATCTACAGAGGGAATAATGTCACCTGCCGCTCCATCCTGCAGTCCCCAAGCCCCTCAGGGCCCACCCCACAAGTCCTGGCTTCTCCATCCTCTCCCCAGGTTCTTTGCAGATGCAGGCGGGCCCAGGAGAGCAAGTGACTACCAGGGCGAGGGAAACGGCAGCCTTTCCCAGGCTGCTGTGGGGATGTGGGTGGCAACTACCTGGACCCAAAGAGGGGGTGGCCCAGGAGAGCAGTCTCGATGTGGTGTCACAAGGGCGCTCAGGGGTGTGTCCGCCTCTCTTCTGCCACCGGCAGGCAATGTGGCCTGGATGCATGTGCTGGCAGCCCGGGAGCTGGAGCGGCGGGCAGCCCTGATGGGCGGCCAGGTGTACTTCTGCTACGACGGATCGCCCTACAAGAGCTACGAGGACTTCAACATGGAATTCCTGGGCCCCTGTGGACTGCAGCTGGTGGGTGCCCGCCCACTGCTGCCCTACTGGCTGCTGGTGTTCCTCGCTGCCCTCAATGCCCTGCTGCAGTGGCTGCTGCGGCCGCTGGTGCTCTACGCGCCCCTGCTGAACCCCTACACGCTGGCCGTGGCCAACACCACCTTCACTGTCAGCACCAACAAGGCTCAGCGCCATTTTGGCTATGAGCCCCTGTTCTCGTGGGAGGATAGCCGGACCCGCACCATTCTCTGGGTACAGGCCGCTGGGAGTTCAGCCCAGTGACGGCGGGGCTGGGGCCTGGAGGCCCATCATGGCACATCCACCCAGGTCCTGAGCCCTCACACCCTGGACGGGAAGGGACGGCTGCATTCCAGAGCAGGAGGTAGGGCTCTGGGACCAGAATGGCTGTCCCAGAGCCCTCCACATTTTTTTTTTTTTTTTTTTTTTTTGAGACAGGGTCTTGCTCTGCCACCCAGACTGGAGTGCAGTGGCGTGATCATAACTCACTGCACCCTCAACCTCCTGGGTTCAAGTGATCCTCCTGCCTCAGCCTCCTGAATAGCTGGGACCACAGGTGCACACCACCACACCTGGCTTTTTTTTTTTTTTTTTTGGTAGAGACAGGGTCTCACTATATTGTCCAGGCTAGTCTTGAACTCCTAGGCTCAAGTGATCTTTCCACCTGGGCCTCCCAAAGTGCTGGAACTACAGGTGTGAGCCACCGTGCCCGGCCCAAGCCCTCCACATCATCAATCCAGGAGCCTTGAGTCTGTGTTTTGTCCTGACGCCTCGAAGTCCTAGGGCTGTCAGGATACAAGGGCAGGGTTTGGGGACAGAGTGTCCTTCCTCTGTCCTCTCACCCCGGTCCTGATGGCCGCTTGGTGAGGGTCGGTGCCCTGGCGACCTGCCCGGGCTCTCTTCTGGCTTTCTGAGCAGGAAGCGAGCAGAGGCTCCACAGGCTCACGCTGCTCTCCTGACATCCACGCATGACCTTCAGGTCTCAATGCAGAGTGCAGAGGCGGCTCTGGTTCCTCCAGCCACCTCAGTCCCTCTTTGGGAAGTGATGTTCCCATTGTTTTTCAAAGGCCTCACCTTCAACCGTCTGTCTTAGAATTCCCCTCTGGAGGGCTGCGGCCTCCCTGCGCTTTCACTTCCCACCTCTCTACCCAAGTTCCTTCCCTGCACATCACCAGCCCCAGGCCTGGGGATGTCCCAGATGCTGTACCTGGCTGCGCCCAGATTAAAAGCCTCATCCACGACTGTGTCCATCTGTCTGTCCAGCTCTCCCTCCCGCGCCCCGCACCCCGTGTCCGCCTCCCCACGGCGCCCATCCCACGTGGGGACAGAAGGAAGTGAGCACACAGCACGCCCGCTGTTGGATTGGTTGCTATTTCTCCCGTCCCACAGGGCCCGACCTGGCCCGGGGTGGGGTGGGGGGCTCTGGGGACAGGACATGCAGGGCGGAAGGGGGGGCGGGGGCAGGATTTTCCTGTGTTTTATCCATTTGCAAGTTGGTCACCAATAGAGAGAAATGGGACTCTGAGGGCTAACAGGAGAGGGCGGCCTGGCTCTGGGCCCCAGCCAGGCCCCAGGAGTCCTGTCCCCTCTGGGGAGGGGAGGGAGAGAGCTCTAGAAACCAACGGAGAAACAGAGAAGGGGGCAGGGGCTCATGTCAGCAAACACAGCTACATCACGTGACACGCCAGCGACACAGAAACACACGCCAACGCACACGGCTGCACAGCGGGCAGGGGCGGTTAGGGGAACGGGAGCCGGGGGCCACCCATCTTGTCCTCTGCGGGGCGGGCTGGGGGGCAGGGTGAATGCATAGAACACGTCATGTGTACACGCTCAGGGCGTGGCAAGAGCGTGCGACCCACGGGCACATGGGATGGACACGCAGTGTGCTTCATGAGGGACGGGAACAGGGAGGAGGGGGAGGAGGAGCACTGAGCCCTGGCCAGGCCCGGGACCACCCGCAGGGCACACGTGGGGCACACGTGGGCTTGATGGTTGTAGGCGCCTGGGCAGGCGGCACACATTTGTCCGAGAACATGCAAAAGACACCAGCCCCCAGACAACACACCAGGACGCACACAGACAGCAGCCGACAAGCAGACACATCATAGGATGCGGGGGACGCGTAGAAAGTCAGGGCACAGCAGACCCTTGGAGATCCCCTGGTCCACCTGAGGCCCAGACAGGGGCAGCTGTGGGCCCGATGCCACTCCAGGCGGTGGAGGCGGTGCCCCAGCCATGCTGCAACCCTTCTCCTGTGGCCCCAAGGCCGTGGGACTTCCAGAAACACCTGGGCTGAATGGGGGTCCTGTCCAGCCAGGCAGAAGAGGGGACTGGGGGCTGAGGTCTGCTCTGGCATCTCCCAGGCAGCCCGAGATGGGAACAGGAAGGCTGTGGCCAGACTTGGGGCAGACTTCCTGTCCTGCAGAGGGTGGTTCTGGGAAGGGACAGGCAGGCCCCCAGGTCAGGACAGCCCACCCGGGGTTACGCACATGGCCATACTGACACGCACACAGGACAGGGGAGAGCTCGGCTGTCTGAGCTGGAGTAGAGGCGGAGGGGTACTGTGTTCTGGGAGGTCACATCTACATGGCCACACACACACACGATGCACACACACACACGATGTACACACACACACACAATGTACACACACACAAATGTACACACAAGTACGCTTCACATGACCTGGGACCCCGGGGTCCACACACACACACTGAGTCCCTCGCCTGTGCACACATAAGCCCCATGCCAGGGCACGGCACATTTGTGTACTTGTGTGTTCACCTTTCATGCTCCTGGGCCACAGAGCGGGGGCCTCTAACACTGTCCTTTCTCCCACGCACCACCTACCTGCCACCAAACCCACAAACTGTGCCTGTGCTGGCACACACAACAGGGGAGGTGCTAGCCCCTTCCTCGCACCAGAAACCCAGGCCTGCGTACCCCTCAGTCGCACCCTGGTGTGGGGAGCAGCCTGAGGGCTCAGCAGGAGAAGTGTCAGGGATGGGTCTTGGGACCCAGCCCACCCTGAGTGGCCACTGCCACACTGGCCACTCCAGTACGTCTGAAATAAACAGTTCCCCAAACCCGAGTTCCCTGAGGCAGAGCCCAGAGCATCCGATGGGGCAGTGGGGGACACACAGTCCTCTCCCAGGTCCAAGGCGGGTGTGTGAGGAAGGGGTCGTGTCCTGATCTTTGATCTGTGCAGGGAAGTCCTTGGCATTTTGCCTCATCAGTAACATTCCTACAAGTAGCCCTTTCCTTCCAGGAGGCATTCGTGTGGTCCCTGCACCCATGCCAGCATGCATGGTTTGTGCCTGGTGTGGCCCCTGCCTGGGGCCACCTCAGCCTTGCCATGTGTGAGCACACTGAGGGGTACCAGCTTCCAGGGGCTCGGGGCTATGCTGGGCAGAGACACGGAGGAAGATGAGGATCTGGGTGTGAGCGTGCAGAGCCCTGAGGCCAGGCAGGCAGGAAGCTCTGGCTGCACAATGATGTAGCCATGTGTGTGGCCACACGGGCACTGGGCAGCGCCTCTGGGGAGAGGGGCGGGGCAAGGACAACTGGAGAGACAAACCCAGATGGGGCCACATCCTTAGAAGTGTGTGTATACGCACATGTGTGTCCGTGTGTGTATTAACGCAGGGCAGAAACACACCATGCAGGCCAGGCGTGGTGGCTTAGGCCTGTAATGCCAGCACTGAGGGAGGCCAAGGCGGGAGGATCACCTGAGGTCAGGAGTTCGAGATCAGCCTGGCCAACATGTCAAAACCTCATCTCTACTAAAATACAAAAATTAACCGGGCGTGATGGTAGGTCCCTGTAATCCCAGCTACTTGGGAGGCTGAGGCATGAGAATCACTTGAGTAAGGGAGGCGCAGGTTGCAGTGAGCTGAGATCGCGCCACTGCACTCCAGCCTGGGCGACAGAGCAAGACTCCGTCTCAAAAAAAAAACAAAAATAAAACAAAAATAAAAAACACACCATGTAGAGAACTCCTAACGCACACACATGCACGCACATGCATGCCACACACACACAGCTGCATTCTAGGTAGCAAGGGATATACATTTCTGTGCCCTCCCAAAGCAGGTGGCCAGTACACAGTGTGGAGGGCTCTATCTGAGAAGACCTATCAACACTTCAGGCACATCCTGGACACACACACACACACACAGACACACACACACCCTTCCGGGACACACTGCAGCCCCTGGAGTAATGAAGACACGGGGTGTCTGCCATGGCCTGCGTGTACCTGGGCCTCCCTGGATCCTCTGAGAATGTGAGTGTGAGTACACACACACCACCCGCCTGGTTTGTAGCAGACACAAAGGGCTCGGGTATCAGTGGCTTCGTTGCTGTTGCATTAGGTTCAAACACTCAAACACAAAATTCCACGTACACAAATGGCGTGTCCACAGATCTGTGGTCTCACTCACACACACACACCGTTCACAGAGGACAGAGAGGGGCGTGGTGGGCAGCTGTGTTACACTCGGCTGCAGTCTACACAACAGCCCCGGTGAAGGGGGAAGCTCAGACCACGCACACATACCCGAGGCGGGGGTAGGGGGGTGCTCTGGTGCATCACACACATCACACGCACACACACGCTGGGGTGTCCACACGTCTTGAGCATGTGCCGGCGGCATGCATGTTGGTGTGCATGTGTAATCACGCCTGCTGCGATCTACGTGCGGGGGCAGGGGGGGGTCCATGGCCGGGTAAGGTCCAGGGACACCAGGGTCTGCCATGGGAGTGGAGGAGGGGTGGGGCTGCCTGGGTCTGTTTTGAGGGTGAGCCTGGAGCAGGGGATGGAGTGAAAGGGGTGGTGGGGGTATTGCTCCCGATGTGGTGGGGGAGGGGTCTGGGAGAGAGAAGGGTGGGGGGCCTACAAGCCCAGCGTCCCCCCAATGGATGACGCCAAGACCACCCCCAGCACCACACAGCAAATGATGATCATGATTTTCTTCTGCAGCAGAAAGAGGAGCGAGACAGGGAGACAGTGAGAGAGACCGACACATGGACAGATGCAGGGACAGACGGGGCAGAGGGTGGCGGGGAGAAGAGGGGAGAGAAAACAGAAACAGGAAGAGGTCAGAGCCAGAGATAAGGCTTCCCACCCGCTGCCATCACTCACCTCAGCCCGGGCTCAGCCTTGGGCTCCCCCGCCTACCCCCAAGCCGCCTGCCCCGCTCACCCTCCGGGCCTTGCTCTGATATTTCACTGCTTTCTTGGTGTCAGACACAGCTCGCTCCACGTAGTCTACAGAATGTTCCACGTTGTACTCGATGCGGTCAATCATCTCTCCCTGCAGACAGAGGAGATGTGCACAGGGAGGGATGGGGACTAGGCTGGAAGAGGGGACCTCGGGCCCAGGGAGGTTCCCAGGGTAGCATGGGTGGCAGAGCCGGTACCTGGCTCTCTACAAGCATGGCCATGTCCACAAACATGTCGTGCAGCTCACGGATGCTGGTCTCCAGCTTGATGATCTCATTGTGCCTTGTCTCGATCTCATTCAGCGCCTGCTTCGTCATCTGTGAGTCCATTTTGATCTAGGGCGACGAGGGAGAGAGCTACGATTCCCCTTCATCCCCATGAGCGCCTCCACCGCAGCGGAGTGGCCGGGGCCAAATCCGATGTCATTTACTAGCTGAAACCTTAGGCACATTATTTATCTGCTCTTGGTCTCAGTTTCCCCACCTAGAAAACGTGAATCATAACACTGCCCACCTCACAGTGTGGTTGTGAAGACTGAGTGAGTTAAAATGTGCACATCGGCCAGGCACAAGGCCTCACACCTGTAATCCCAGCACTTTGGGAGGCGGGTAGATCACCTGAGGTCAGTTTGAGACCAGCCTGGCCAACATGGCGACACCTCGTGTCTACTAAAAATATAAAAATTAGCCTGGCATGGTGGTGGGCACCTGTAATCACAGCTACTCGGGAGGCTGAGGCAGCAGAATTGCTTGAACCCGGGAGGCAGAGGTTGCAGTGATCTGAGATCATACCACTGCACTCCAGCCTGGGCAA